TACAGGTTTAAGCAAGAACATTCTGAACAGTACTCCAATAGCATGGGAAAGAGCTTTAAGGATGAACAAATGGGGAAAAGAAACTATCAGCAGAGCAAACAGACAGCCCACAGATTACTAAAAAAAAGCTTTACCAGCTGTTCTTCATCCAAGGGACTATATCCAGAATTTACAATGCTCCAGAATTTACAAAGCACTGCAAAGAATACACACACACACACACACACACACACACACAAATTGTCATTCAACAAATGAGTTAATAAAATGAACAGATAATTCTCAAAAAAAAAAAAGAAAGAAATATAAATGGGCAATGTTTTTTTTTTTTATGTGATCAACATTTCTAGTTATTGGATGAATACAAATTAAATAGATGTCATATCACCTGGCCTAGAATGGCCATCACCAGGAAATCTGACATCCTAATGTTTGCATTGTAATAAGTCAGGGCATGCATTGTCTCAACATATCAGCACAAAGTGCGAAACTGGAATTTTTATTTGCAAGGAAACTAGATAAGGTCCAAGCAGTTTAAGTTACTTGTTAAGCTTAGAAAATAATACATATTAAGAAAAACTTAATGGGAGATCTCTGATATTCAAAATGCATATTTCATTAGAAAACATACATACTTAAAATATTAGACTAGTTACTAATCTACAAATTGCTTTGTTTCTTAAAAGGCTTTCCAAAAACTTAATTAAAACTTACTATTTATTTTCATTCAAATTATAAATATTGACAGAGAATTATGGAAAAGCCTGGAAATTATAGAGTCTACCAAAAAAGCAATGCTTTTTCTTCTTTGTTATCTTTTTACAATTAATTATCTGTTTCTCAAAATTAGGTGTATATTCTGGTTACTCACATCTAATCAAGCCCACTGAATTTGAAATGAAAGCTGGGAAAAAAATAAAAAAGATTGGACCTAGTAAGAATCAAGTACAAGTTCTTAGCTTTAACTAAAGCATAAATCTGAGTCAGGAACTCTCCTAAGAGTGTAGTTTCAGAGACAGAATCCTCAGCTTTTCTTCCTTGGTAGCTAAAGATGCTTTGAATAGAAGATGTTAGCTCTTTACTAATGAAATTAACAGACATAACCTATATTCATATGTAACCATTTTAAGGGAAGAAAAGTGATGAGAGGGGCTATGAAGAGTTAATCTATGAAGAGTTAATCCTCCATGAAGAGTTAATCAAGACATGATATTTGTACATGGCAGCTAAGCAGGGAGTGGTAGTAACTTTTAAAGAAAATATGACTCTGATCTTTGTTTTTTTCAGAGGTTGCCTGTAGGCCAGACATTACAGTTCTAAAATGACATAAGACCTTTTGAATAATTTGTATTCTAATATCATTAACTTCAATTGCCAAGTTACACAGAATTTCCCATCATAGAACCCTAATCTATACCTTTGTTATGTACACCGTCCAGAGGATTTGAATGTTCAGTAGGCAGTTGACATCCTTGAGCCACATGTGCCATGCTTAGTCTCTTCCAGAGCCCACCAGTCATTCTTGGTTCATATACTGTTTATTTTACAAAGCACAGTTCACAAGGCATCATGAAGTTGTATTGAAGAAAACTATTCCAGTCTTGAATGCCAAGTGACTTTCAAACCAATGCTAGGAAAGAATCTGTTTCTAAAGGCCTTTTCTCAACTGATCTTAGCATCTTGGAGAAACAAACATGGGTTTGCTTTTGTGACAGACAGGCCCTAAGACTGATCCAGCAGAAAGTGTTTAGAGTCTACAGAAGTTCAGAAGTAGACTCAGGTCTAATGGTATGGTCTGTACATATGTAGAAAGAGTCATATTTCTTCTGTGCTTACCATCCATTCTAACCTTTACCTTTCCACTTCAACATGCCAAGAAGACTTCGCTGTGATATGACATAGCTTGTTCAGCTCAATGGAAATCATGTTTTTAAAGTGCATTTTTGATAACTCTAAGCTAGTGACTTTCCTCTTGACTCTTATTTTCTTCAGTTGAAATAAAATTTTTTCTGTAAAAAGTTTTATGATGATTCAACACTTAAGCTTTGTAATACTTCCTTTTATTTTCCCAAGTAAGAAATAAATTAATGCAGGCAGAAGATTGCGAATTGAGAAATTTTTTTCTGAATACCCTGAAATATCCTTTCTTAAGCAGTTTTCATTATCTGCAAAGAAAGTGTTCAAGAACACCATAGTGAGCACCCTCAGGGGTGTAGTCGGGAAAGCCTGTGTACTCAGCTCAACTAAGTCAGGGAGATGCCAGCAAGGGAGGCAAAGCAAGGAGGCTTATCTTCTTGAATCCACAGGGATTAACGTTTGGTTCCACACATGGCTATTTTAAACATTTAAAAGGTGGTTTGTGAAAAAAAATGTCTATTTTTATGCCTTTAAATTATTCCAAACTTTTTTCAAAATTTCATTTGGTACCTACGACTCAGTTTAGAAGAAGAAGAAGGAAAAAAAACTGAAAATATAAAAGGGAAAATAAATGCATTATATACATATGAGAGTAGAATGTGAGAAATTCTTTCAAGTTCACTATGGAAAAATACCCCTACATATCTCTTAGGATAAAGGGATTACATGGTCCCTAGCCAGAGGGTTCTTAGACCTTCCTCTCCCTTTGACTCTCAGTGATCAATACCTCTGAAAGCTTATGCAAAAGCCTGCAAAGGAAGCCTGTTTGAAAGACAAAGTTGAACAACTTTGAGTTTGCAAAAAGTACTTAAATGTAACCTAAATAAAAGGCCAACGGAAAGATCCAATGGGACTGAATTATGTTTCAAGGAAGCACAAGTTCAGATAACTATCTGTAGTCTTTTTTTTAATACAATCTTGTAAAATACAAGTACAACCTACTACAATGACTGTTTCAGAAAGGCCATTTGCTCTACGTTTATTTTTTAACAAAAACTTCTAATTCTGGATCTTTAACACATATAATTGGTCTGTAATAAGGCAAATGGTCCATATTGAATGATGCAAAAGTGTTTGCCAGCACTATTTATACTTTTGAGAAGCAGAAATGGATATTTAAGAAAACTTTGGCCTACACTGGTAAAACTGAAATTAAAATATCTGTGAGGCAATTTTCTTAGATGAATCAAATGTTTTCCATTTTTAATTCCTTCTGTTCTTCACTCCCCTCCCCTTCCTCCCTCTTTACATGATATGGATGCTATAACTTCTTGCTCATGAATTTTTATGGCTTGTCTGTCTAATAATAGCTCCTTTATTTCTTTGCACTTTCAGACTTGAACTTTTCCAGCTACAGTGATCAGTTTCCCTATTTAAAGCTATGTGCCTTGCTAAATTGATTCAGACCTCCTGCCTAAGATGGGTGCTCTTTCTTGGTACTAAATACTATTTGAACATAGGATAACCTTGAAGTCGGTCATTCCCCAGACACATTAAATTGTTCATGTTAAATACAATAAAGAAAGCTAAAATCCTGCAATCCCTTCCCACATGATGTTAGGTGTAACATGTAAATTAGGATATGACTTGCCAGATGAACACTTCATGCCTGTAATATATTGCTTGTTTTCCAAAATATATTGGTTGGTAAGGAGGAGCTGTCCCTACCTGTGTTGCATTTCTATACACTGAACATCTTCTCCACTGAAAAAAATACTTTTTTCTCAACTATGAAAAACTTCAAAATCCTCTTTCCCTGCAGATTGAAGGCGCATGCAGAGTATGCTTAACTTAAGCATGAGCAGTCATAAAACAGCCCCCCCATGTCTGTCTATAAAGCTTCTATTCTGCCTCTATCCACAGTAGGAGGAACTATATCTTCACAAAATAAGTTGTGTTGCTATAAAGTTCTTGTGCCTTAATTTCTTGATATTATAAGTTCCTGCTGTATTCAGCTGTAGGAGACAAGTGGTTTTAAAACCCTATAGCCACATTATGGTTAAGTATTTATGGCAGGAAAGCAAATCAGCCAAGCACAAACTCTTAACTTCAACTTCGGATGAAAAGACATAAACGTCATTGGCTTTCCAGTAGGTAGTACTGTAAGATTAATGCATATCTCCAATTAATACTGAAGAACAGGAAAAATCATGAAAATGTTTTACATTATTCTGTGATTTTGATGAAAGAATAAATTTAAGTTGTAAGCTCATTGACTAATAGTTAGATTTGACAAGAACTGACAAGAATTTCTGGGGTTTTGTTTGTTAGTTAATATTCTTGATGTTAAAAATACAGTATACATCTCAAGCTTTCTTAAGGCAAATGACTAGGCTTGTTCTAAGTTCTAAAACTTACTGTCGTTTTGTTTGTGTGTTTTGTTTTGCTTTGGTTTTGTGCTTAAAATAATATTCCTTATTCGTGCATTCCTAAGGCTATTGTGTAATTACTATTATGCAAAAGAAATTGAACAAAACAGAAATAAATCTTGTAAAAAGGACCTTGATGATTTGTAAAACCCCTCCCCCACCCGAAATACTGTGGGAGGGAGGCGAGGCAAGCGATAGGCATAAGAATAAAAATGACGATACACATTGCATGGTAGACCTTTCATTCTGGAACATTCTCTCAGTACACGGCTTGAGTACTTTTTGTGCCTTCCATTTGCCAGCTGGAGTGATCCGGTGCCTGCATGAATGGCCTCTCCTGGGCTGTAAGCTGCTCACAATACATTTTGGTGAAATGATAGCATGTGATCGCTCTAGTTGAAGCAGTTAATAACTGGTTAAACAGCATTTCCCTCCAAAGGCTGTTTTTGTCGCCCCAAAGCAGTCACTCCCAACCGATCCCTCCCCTCAGTCTTTAACAGTGCCTCAACTTCCTGATCAAATCCTTCGTTCCCATCCCTTAGCAAACGCCAAGACCCTATATTTGCCCCATCTCCTTTACTCAAAGCCATCTGATCTGGCGAAGCCAGAGCGGGCTGATGGGGATAAAGGAGGGCTGGAGCGCAGAGGTCTGGCAGGGACCCCTGGCCGGCAGGTGTGCAGTCCCGGCGCTCACAGAGTTAAAGGCATCATCGCAGCCATTAGAGGCAAAGTTGGGCGCCGCGCGAGCCCAGTCCGCGCCGCCCCGCGCCCGCTCCACTCGCCGCCGGCTCTCTGGGCGTGGGGAGGGTGGTGAGCACGCAAGCCGAGCGGCTGACGTGGGACAAGCTGCCAGGTAGCGGAAGCAGCCAGCCGCCGGCGGAGACTCTTCGCAGCGTGGCAGCCCGGGTCTGTGCCTAAAGCCTCCGGATCTCAGCCAGCTTGGTCCAACCCTCGCCAGTCGCAATCCCTTGTGCCCAAGCCAATCTTCTCTGCGAGCGGCAGCATGCACGCAGTGTCGCGCCCAGGGCTCTGAAAGCAGCCCGCGGACACGCTTCCTTGCCTGTCTTTTCGGGTTTTGGGGCTCTTGGCTACACGGATGTGCCTCCCTCCCTTGGCATGATGGGTTTCTTTTTGGCGTCTGTTGGATTTGTGTTCTTTTCGCTGTTATATGTACAACAAGGGCTTTCTTCTCAAGGTAAGTCCATTGCTTGTCGTGTGTATGTAATGTGTGTGTGTGTGTGTGTGTGTGTGTGTGTGTGTGTGTGTGTGTGTGTGTGTTGTACCAACTAGAAGAATGGAGCTGTCTAGCTTTAGAGCTCAAACCAAGCCCACAGTGGGTTTGGGTAGTGTGTGGCTTGGCTTTTTTTCCCCCTTCAAAGTTTATTAAATCACAAGCCAACCAGGTTTCAAAGAAAATCTAGTAGACGACAGACTGGCAGTGGGATGAGCACATACACAGATACACAGGTGTGTGTGTGTGTGTGTGTGTGTGTGTGTGTGTGTGTGTGTGTTTTCCATGTGCATGAACAGGGCGACCAATCGTGCACATACAATCATTACCAATACAGAGCTGCGGTGGGAAGGGGCTTCTCGCTGCCAATATTCCCTGTAGGCAGGAAGCTTTAGTCCCCTTCTCTGGTCCCTGTGACTTCTTCTCCATGTGTGTTTACCAGAGAACCCACAAGGAGGTACTAATTGCATCATAAGCTGCAACTGCCTACTGGGCCCGGTTGTTCAGGACTTTGCAGGCTGCAGTGGTTGCTTGGGCACCATGAGCAGACCTCAGTTTTTACCTCCTGAAGACTGCATCACTTCTGCAAGCAGAAATGCCCCCACTCTGCCGGCCGATGTGAGCAGAAAACCCTATTCAAATAGACTGCCTTTCTGATAGTGTCCATTTCCTTGATAGACAATCAGTTCCTTTTGAGATTTCATAAAATAGTGAAAAGAGACCCAGATACACTCCTTAAGAAAGAGGAGAAAGTAGCTGTAACCATTCCTGCCCTCCTTTCAATGACCCTCCTTTCATGTGTGTGTCTTGTAGTTGTGCCCTTCTATCAGCCACAAATAAGAAGGCTCCTTCTAGAGAGCCATCAGCTCTTTGCAAAGTGCCCCTTAGACAGGCTAAGAACAAGCATCTAGTTAGCAAGAAAAACATCATCCCATGTTCAAGGAATGACTCCGAGGAGGAGGGGGCATTTTATTTTTAATGACTTCCACATGGATCTGTTAATCTTACAAGCTGGCAGTGTCAAGGTTAGCAAAAGGGTTAGATGGAGTCTCTGTGGTGTCTTTCAAATAATTTTTGGCTTGAACTAAACATGGATTATGATTTTTATATCCACTGACATATGTCAGTTTATAATGGCTTGAAGGGAACAAACGTGAGGTTGACCTGCGTCCAACTTGTTTCACTGCTTGGGCTCCAGAACAAAATTTCTGACCACTATTTTGACAGATTAGAATGTGAGTTTTGACATATACTTATGGCCCATTTCTAACATGAAACATCCTGATTAGTCATAGATGGTTTAGAAACTTAAGAATCCAGAAGCGTTCTACTATAGCAACTGGACAGACCGTCTAAATTGCACCTTCGTGGATCCCTCAGTAAGTTTTGGGGAATGCTGCAATCTGACAAAAGATGCCTGGGTATAACTCTGGGCAGCTTGGCTAGCAGAGAGAGCTATTGGCAAGCTCATTAACCTTTCCATTATCTGGACTTGATCAACAACAAAGTGATGTAGACATGATAACCAAGACCAAGGCACACAGAGGGAAAGCAATGGGGATAGGGAGCCCTGCAGAGATGTCATAGGGGCTGCTATTGCTGTTTTTAGTTTCTCCTTTCAAGGCCAAACAAACAAAAACTCGAGTCCCAAGTTCTCCAGGAAATAGACACTGGCAAAGATGGTGTATATAGACACACCAAAATGATGCATTTCTGTCTTGCAGCAAAATTTACCGAGTTTCCGCGGAACGTGACTGCGACCGAGGGACAAAATGTGGAAATGTCCTGTGCTTTCCAAAGTGGCTCCGCTTCAGTGTACCTGGAGATCCAGTGGTGGTTCCTTCGGGGACCAGAGGATCTGGAGCATGGGACCGAGGCTGCGGGCTCTCAGGTACCATGGCTTATAGCCCACAGAGCTCTGGCATGTCCCTTCTATGCATGTCTAACCAGCGCCCCAGCCCGGGGTACTGCCCATGCGTCCACGGGAACCTTCCCTGCTCTATGAGAGTGAGAATGGCTGAATTTGTCCTGGCTACAGTAAGTTAAAAGCACCTAGGAAGTCATAGTAGCTGGGGACATTCGCTGTTTAGGCTGGAATTAACCAGCTGTTAATTCCCGGCTTTATGGAGCTGTACAAACTGACTCTATCTCTGGTACAGACCAAGGCCCCCTCCTCCACCAGCCTTCCTTCTGTTTCCCCAACATCAAGGATAAGGGGAGTCATCCTTCTTCTAGGTTAGTTCTCTCTCTCTCTCTCTCTCTCTCTCTCTCTCTCTCTCTCTCTCTCTCTCTCTCTCTCTCTCACACACACACACACACACACACACACACAGGGGGGGAAGGGCAGAGAAGCAGAGAGAGGGGGCGGGAAGAGGGAGGGAGGGGAGGAGAGAGGGAGAAACATGGGGAGAGGGAGAGATGGGGGCAGGCATCAGAAATGCAGGAAGAGGCAGGCACTGGACCCGAGAAGAGTGTAGAGCAGGAGATGAGGAAACGGGAGAAAACACGAGAAGGAAAACGTAAAGAAGCTGAAAGAGTAGCGCCTTAAGATCGGGAAAGGGAGATCCACGAAACAAAAGAGAACTCGGGCATGAGATCTAGAGGACGAGAAAGTCTGTTGAAAAGAACCTGGGGACTGGTCAGCAGCGAGGGCAAAGATGCAGAAATTTGTCCGGAAAACTTCCAGCCACACTCCTGTCCTCGCCTGGGTTTGAGCCTGTCCCCATCCTTCACCTAGCCCGCAAGCAGGGCAAACTGAACTGAGAGGTAGAAGACCTAGTCTCCCCTCTGCTCTAGACCGGGGCCAGCCAGGGGGGGAGCACAGCCTGCAGGGGCTCAGGGACCACAGTGACTCTCCAGGGTGTCGCTAGGACCCATGAGACCCTGGGAACCTCAGGGATGCTGGGGACAACGGGATTTTGGCAGCCACGGGAATGCTTGGGATCCACAGGGACTCTCCAGGGTGTAGCTTGCACAGAGGGGACAAGAAGGACCTTAGGGATTCTCGAGGAGAGTAGAGATCGCAATCATGCTGGGGAAGACCCCGGGGACCTCTTGGAATCCAACCCGGGAAGAAGGGGACTTCAGGGATGTTCCAGGGAGGAGCGAGGGAGGCAGTCCAGCCTGGCTTCAGAACTGAGTACGGCAGGGAACTCGGTCGTTCTTCTGTCTCTTAAATTGCCTTGACTGAAGCCTTTCAAGACTAAAAGGCTGGGATCTCTCTGAGAGGATGCGCAGCTGCTGTGTCGCGGGCCCAGGATTGAAAGACTCGGGAGAGGTTTAGCATTTACACTCTTTCCCTACAGGTGGAGCTCTTACCCGACAGAGACCCGGACAACGACGGGACCAAGATAAGTGTGAGTGTCACAGGGACGAGCGACAGGGGGCTCATGCTTTAGTGAAAGGCCAAGAAGGTGAACATTAGTGGAAAACAGATTTCAGATTTAAAATCTTTTAAGTCATTGAGCCTGAAACGGTAATTTTGTAAATTCAGCATGAGAGGCAGTTGTCTTTTTTTTTAACCTCATTAAACACCTAAAACTTGAGCTGAATTTAGAGACCATAAATAAAATTGTATGTTTTAATCATGTAAATAATTACAGATTGGCTAGACTATTAATTCGCTAGCTAATGTGATTATTGCACTGTTTTCCTTAATCATTTTTAGTCACCTCAATTTAACAAGGAAGGTCTGCAATTCTTCAATATTAACAATTTTAATAATTCAAAGTAACAGGAGTACCTACCTCTTAATAGAAAATAAAAATCTCAGGAAAACTGAAATGAAACTATCCGATAAGGTTTGAAAATGTATGAAAAAATATGACTCAATTTGGATATCATTCATAGTTCATATATTTATAAATCTAATTTTCAAATAAATCATGAAACCAAAGTAGGTTTTAGGCCTTGCTTTTAGGCCAGACTGACCTACTGACAATATAAAGATGAGACTAATTTGGGATAATTTTAATGGCCATGGCTTCTTCATCATCCTTCATTTCTGTGTTTATAAAATAATGAAATCTTTAAGCCTGACACATTTATGTGATGGTTCAGTCTGTAGTCTGTCAATCATTGATTAATGTATGATATATACCAAATTTAACTGATCTGATTATATATATATGTATATATTTCATATATATCACATGGGTTACATAGTATATATTTAATATACATTAGACATGTGAGATTATTATTGATATGGGATAAAATTACTAGAATAAATAAACTTGACCTAAGTTTTGAAAATCAAGTCAATGTTTAATTAAAAGCATTACATTTATAATGACATGGAAATATACAATGAGCCTTAATTTCAGATACTATTTCTCTGTAGCCTGAGCCCTGCTACCCTCTTTTAATAGGCAAGTGAGAAGAGAAATATTACTATCCAAGACTAATAGATAGTCTATTAGTCTTTGGTAAAGGGCACCTCCTTTTAAATTGTTATGACTAACAATTTTTTCCTTTGGCCCAGGATTTAAAGGAGTGGTCTTGTAGCTGCACAAAAGAAAAGTATATCCAGAAATGGGCTCCTTATTCAATGTTTCATTCGGCCGAGTTAACCAGGCAGAGGCCAATCCCATGGTGAAAAATTGACAGGGTTCTTATCAGGATTTGGGAAGTGTGCACAGCAGGGCTACTCTGGCACTGCTTAAATTGAGTTTATGACCCCCCTCAAGTCTGTGGATGAGATTGTTTGCAGAGCAGGATGAATATGGCCTTCAGATTTGTGCTATGAAGCCATTAAAACTCTTTAATACCAACATTAGCAAATTTAAGATGAAGAGTGCGAATAAAATCCTTTGATGAGAAACTTTGTTTTTCACCTGCAATTTTTCAGACAGTGAAAGTCCAAGGCAATGACATCTCCCACAAGCTTCAGATATCCAAAGTGAGGAAAAAGGATGAAGGCTTATATGAATGCAGGGTGACTGATGCCAACTACGGGGAGCTACAGGAACACAAGGCCCAGGCCTACCTGAAAGTCAATGCCAACAGCCATGCTCGAAGGATGCAGGCCTTTGAAGCCTCACCCATGTGGCTACAAGACATGAAGCCTCGAAAAAATGTGTCGTCAGTGGTTCCTAGCAGCATCCACAGCTCTGCCAACCAACGAACGCACTCCACCTCCAGCCCTCAAGCGGTAGCCAAAATCCCCAAACAAAGTCCACAATCAGGTATGGAAACCCATTTTGAGCCTTTCATTTTACCATTCACAAACCTCCCACTGAAAGGTCAGTTGAATAGCATAGACAGATTAATGTTAGATGGCTTTTCAAATAGGAGACTGAGTTCGATTGAAACGAGGAGACGTGAGATATTGAGAGCAGGAGACTGGACGTTCAGGATGAGTTTGCTCCATTAGTCCCTGGCACTGTTTCATATCCAGGGATCTGAGAGCTGGACTCTTCTATTCTCCCCCTTCTTTCTGTATTTACACATTATGATAACAATAAATCATGTAATGTTGGTTACATTATAAATGCATGTTCATTTTCTCTACAGATTTATGTATCAATAATGACCCAAATTAAGAGGCTTCCACTTAATCAAAATGGAAATGAAAAAGACTCATCATAATCACCCATATATTTAGTGACCTATGGCTTTACACAGAACTATTCTCCAAGGGCTTTTGATTTTGAAGGAGAAACTTCAGCTGCCTGTGATGAAATTGATGGCGATAATGGCAGGAAGTGAGGAGGAGGGGAAGTAAGTGATGCAGAGATAAGGCACACAAGTCTACAAATGTGCCAGTTTGGAAGCTTAGTCATACATATCTCAAGTCAGCTGTGCAAGTTAAAGTAATTATGACTGGTGTTAATTCACACACTCATTCCACCAATAGAAACTCACTGAACTTCTAATTGATGTGGGTGGGACCAAGGCTGCCTGGATTGAGCAGTTGTGTACAAGACCCCTGGTTCTATTTCCTCAAATGCTTTGCCTAATATGGGATTAGAGGAACATCCTGCTCAAGCACCTATCTGATATAGACAGACTCACTTGACGTGGTGATTTATTATTCTTTTTTTTATGTGAAATTATTTTTAGACAGGGCAGTCAAAGATAATACTACCCAGCAAAAACTTCGGATTTCTGAAGTGAGGCAGGAGGGTGAGGGTCTGCAAGAGTGCAGGGTGTCTGGTGAGAGCTAGAGCAACACAGGCCCAGGCTAACTGGAAATCATTGGCACTAGCCAATGAAGGCCATTAAATCCCTGTTTATTAACAATATGTTTTTAAAAAATAGATCTGCTAGGTGTGGGGTTATAGCATAGTAGTACAGCATTGGATTAGTTTGTATAAAGCCCTGGATTGAATCTTCAGCATAATAGAAAAAAAGATCAACCAATCAATAAAAACTAATAAAATAAAATATGCCAACACGCATTTCCTCTTTATGCTTTTTGTTTAAAGAGATGTGATGTAGATGCTACAGGATGTTTGTCTAGCATTCTGTTCATTTTTGTTGATTTAAATGCGGAAGAGACTTTCCCTGTTTTAGTCCTGGTAACAGAGCAATCTGCCAGTGACACTCAGTCTATCTGAAGTCCAGTTTTTGTGGCTTTGTCTCATTTTTTTTCTCCGTGTGATCGCCTTTGTTTTCCAAGTTCAAGACAAAGCTAGTAGAGCTAATAATGTTGTTGTTGTTGTATGTGGGAGTACATAAATGCCTATATATCAGCTGTAAGTTTTAACTATTGTTTTACAGATTTAATGCCACTTGAGGTTGGGCCCCTTTCATCTTCTTTTACATCATAACTCCAAGAAGTGAAATCTACCCACAGAATTTAGCAGTCAATTTACAACATAATTAGTGAGAAGTCCAAACCCTGAGAACTTAATAGTGCACATAGATTATTCCAAGCTAGTCACCATAAATCTATCTATGAAATAAAGTGAAAAGGAGCAGTTAGTCCATGTGAATGACTAAAGAGAATGAAGTGTTCTGTTTATAAAATATCTTATTCACCTTATGATATAAATAATGCACTTTAAAAATATCTACTTTATTTTGTTATGTCTCCTAGAGCTGTGATGGAAACTAAATTTTCAAGTAAAATTGCTGCTCATTTTGCACCTTCAGCCTTCAGCCTACTCCTTAGGCAAAAAAAAAATTTTCAAAAAGTTAAAGGAGAGAAGGATGTTGTACCGTAAAACCTCCATCCACTAAAAGCTCCATGCACTATCTGCTTCCTGATTGTAGCAAAGATGAACATAAAATCTATCAAAGCAGTGAATATTCCTCTTTCTCCCAGACAATACTGGAAAATCATATACTTTTATTAACATTCTCTAACATCTCCTTCAGCAGCTGAGGCTTCCCAGCCAGTCTGTGTAAGTTTCATGCTTTTAAGATCATTCCATATAATATAGTAATTGGAATGATATTACATACATATAATTATATATTATATACATGTGATATCCATATCCCAGTTGATAATAGAACTTATTTCAATTCCTCATTTTTTGTTCACATGTTCACCTTTCATCTCTTAAAGGCATGACAGACACAGGAGCACAAACATGAGAGCACACTTCCTCACTCTACAAGCTTTGTTCAGTTTGCCATTAAAAGGGTAGTCATAGATTCCATATAGTGTGAAATTTTTATGATGAAGACATAAAAATTAAAATCCTGCTTTGAGTAACAAAGGGCTATGCTAGCCTTTCATGTTTTATCAACTAATACAAGGAGGCCTAGCATATAAGGCATTGTTAACCTGTGCTACACTATTAACCTGTGCTATAACAAACTAATTTGTTCAGCCCTTAATCTTTATTACACTCTTTGGCTTAATTGACTAGATTCACACACTCAACACTAAATTCAAACAATTTTCCTGTCAAATAACTTCTGTATCTTTATGAAGGAAACATATTAGCTGAAAATAACTTTATATAAAAATCTTCAAATTGTCTTAAAAATAAGCTAGCTCTAAAGAAAAATTAACATGGAAAGGAAGAGGGGAAAAGATAACATATGTGACATTCCATATGCAACCAGATGCAATTTGATAATAATTTAGTGTGACTAGTCCTGGTTTATTTTTCCAAAACATTCCTCAACACTGGTGGCTAGATGCTGTCATTCTTCACGTATAACTATTTCCTTTCTCTTTATAAATTATGTTATGAAGGACAAATATTGTAAGTTCCTAATTTTAACATTATTTAAATTTTATTTTCATTTTATAATCAGCAATTAGAACTGAAATAATAAAGAAAATATAATTCAAACTTATAAACAAAACTTTCTTACAACGTTTTTAAATTCTTTAGAGATCTCTCTAGTTCTGTGTACCCAGGACAGAATTATCATATCAAACCTACCACATTTTTGTTCTTTTCCCTTCTATTCTCATTGTACACAAAGCTTGGGGAGAAAAAGAAATGCTATCAAATACAATACATGAGACAATCAAGGCGTGGATTTAGAAGTTAAAGAAATGTTGTAGGAGGAAGAAGCCCTCTTCCTTCCCACCTCAATCAACAAAGGCTCCCTGGAGAAGGGCCTTTATACCTTCACAGCAGGGAAGTGAAAAAACATTTCTCCGAGAGGAGAGTGGGGGGAGCCAGGATGGGAAAAACAGGACCTCAGTCAGGGTAGAATGACTTAGCTCCATGTACCAGAAAGTTGAAGACTTACTCAAATCCCTCATCCCTCCACCATATCCCTCAAACAATCAAATGGACTAATCTTGCTTTGCTTTGGCTCCCTGTCTCCTCCACTCCTCATCCCATCACCATCCTTCAGAAGCAAAACTTCTCCTACTCTGACCAAGTCTTCTTGCCTTCCTTCTCCTGTTTCTTTCTCTTTCACTGATCATCCCAAACCTCCTGACAAACAGGCAAATAAAGCCAACAGGAAGCCATGCCCTGTATCTCACTGGCCAGTACCTGATCACTGTGAGTGTTCTCCCATCTGAAACCAGTTCCTCCCAAAAGGGCAGCATTATGCTCTGTCTTCCTTCTCTAACCTCAAGCCCATGGAGTACTGCTCCGTTGTTAATGCCAATACTGATGTGTTCTGAGAAGTGACTGGTGTCTACTGAACATTCCTTTGTAACTCATCCTTTCCAACATCTAGGCAGCCCTGGTTTCCACCCATTTGAACGCAGAGACTGCTTCCCTGTTTCTTGCCTTTCTGCTTTATTTTCCCCTTTGCACCACTTCCTTTTATAATGGTATTCTCATTCATAACTTCTTGACTTTATCCTGTAGTTTTGACTTCTAATTTTTATTAGAAAATGTTTCCACTCACATTTCTCCTGATTTCTTTCAGGAGACCCAGACTAGTGTTCATAGTTGTCTACTAAACATCTCTGAATATAGGTCTTCAAAGCCTTGTGGCAAATATATGCTAGGAGTACATTTGTTGATACTGCACTGCTGAGAAGTAGAATCTGTTTCTTCAGCTGCAGTTTGAATTGGCCTGGAACCACATGACTAATAAAGTTTGAGGAAGGCATGCTATTCCAGTTCCAGGACTTACAAGGACTTGTAGCCTCTGTCTCCATCTCTTAGAGGCCTATCACCATGAGGAAGCTACTTTGAACACCCATCATCCCCAGCATCTAACCTCAGCCCCTATTCTGTCTCCTGACAAGCACTGTCCGGCTCAGCCCAAGCATCATACAGACTGGCCATGACAGTGTTTCTTTCACAGAATGTAGATACTCTTCTAGGCCACAGGAACTCAGATGTTCAGAGTTCTCTATTACTATCGGAGCTTAGTCACTAAAAATAAATGCCCTTCCTCGTGTTTCCAAACTTCAACAGTATTATCATAATGACAGCTCCTGTGAAAACTTTGGAAATGTCTTATCACTCCCTCTTTCAGTTGCCAGTTTAATTAGTCATTTTGTCCCAGTAATTTTTTTACTTTACATTTTACTTTATTCATACATTGTTATTTTTATTTATTTTTATTTTTAAAACAATCTTATTTTATGTACCAATCTGAGCCCTCCCCCCTCTCTCTCGTTCTCCAACTCCCTCCACCCAGTGTCCCCTCCTCAGAAACTGTGAGACCTCCCATGGAGAAACTTCAAAGTCTGTCACATCATTTGAGGCAGGATCAAGGCCCTGCACCCTGTATCTAGGCTGAGCTAGGTATCCCTCCATGGAGAATGGGTTCCAAAAAGCCAGTTCATGCAATAGGGATAAAT